GAGAAACCAAAGAAGAAATATATTTTATTTAGATGAAACATGGATCAACGAGGGACATAAACCAAATAAATTTTGGCAAGATGAAACTGTTACAAGTCGAAGACAGGCTTTTTTAAATAATTTATCTACTGGTTTAAATCCACCATCAGGAAAGGGGCGCAGACTAATAATAGTACACATCGGTAGTTCAAACGGTTTTGTTAAAGGTAGTTTATTGACTTTTGAATCTACTCGTACCGGTGACTACCATAAGGACATGAATGCTGATGTCTTTAAAGAGTGGTTCAAACAAATTATAGATCTTCTTCCTCAGAACTGTATAATAGTAATGGATAATGCAAGTTATCACTCGAGACTTATAGAAAAAATGCCCACAACCAAGTAGTTAAAAAAAGATTTACAGAATTGGCTAAATTCAAAGAATATTAAGTTCCATCCCGGTTCTGTGAGAAAAGAACTATCATTTGTGTTCCCTTCATAAAGAGAAATTCAAAAAATATGAAATTGGTGAAATTGCAAAAAATCGTGGATGACGGTGGTTGGATCACCACCATATCATTGCGAAGTAAACCCGATTGAACTGATATGGGCACAGATAAAGGGAGAAGTTTCAAGAAAAAATAATTCTTTTAAAATGAGTGATGTTAAACAGTTGTTTTTGGAGGCTGTAAATAATGTTAAGCCTGAAAACTGGGAAAAGGCAGTAAATCATACGATTAAAGAAGAAAAGAAAATGTGGAAGTTGGACAATATTACTGATGAAATGATCGAGCCACTCATTGTAAATATTGGTTGCGACTGTTCATCTTCTGATTTCGATTCTGATTTGGATTTGTAGGTGAGAAGTAGTTTTTATATTAAAATTTTTATTTATGAACGTAACGTTGTTTAAAAGTCAAAGTTTAAACCCTTATACCTACATAACCCGTTTGACACAATGTTCTTAACATACCTTGTGGAAAAAATAAAACATTTTAGAAAAAATTGCACTTTTTTACCTCCAGATGTTTAGAAGTTATAAGCAGGTTAATTAGGTGAAAATATAAGTGTATACTCGAGGAATAACTTCAAAAAATATTTTAACTGTCTACTAAAAGGAGTGGTACGCCTATGGATTACGAACGCTTTATTATTTTAATACTCTCATACATAAAAATAGACTATAATATGGATCTGTATATTTTTTTTGTAATTTATCTGACATATGCACACTTTACATCTAACAATTTCTAACTTTTAATCCATTTAAATAACATTGCATATGGTTAACGACAGTAGATATGAAATGACAGTTTAAAACGGGAAACAATTTCATTAAAAAATGGCCACCAGAAATATAACGAATGAAAAAAAAGTAAATTTTACTGTAATTTTCATAAAGTGAAGAGAAAACTTTTCAAAAATCGCCACAGAAGGTCACCGCACAATTTTAAAATGCTAACAAGCTAATTACACTATTTTACAGATCTTTAATTGTACAATAATTGTAGAATATTAAAAAAAACCTATAATTTATTACAAATTCGATTTTGGTAGCCTCAAAAAACGAGAAATATTCTAAATTATAAACCAATAGTGTTGGGAAAAATCACACATTTTATTTTAGTGTACGTTTATGAAATTGATTGATTAATTGACTATTAATTTGAATATAACAACAAAACAGATCGTAATATTATATTTATTTATTAATCTCACTTTTCATATATCTTACATTACAATATCCAATCAACTTCTAAAATATTTCCGAATATATTTACTCTCTAATTTAATATATTTATTTCCAATAATTATTATTTAATAAAATTAATTTCACAAATTCTTTAATATTACAATAACATCGAGAAAAATAAAATATGCATTTCTTTGCGGTATTTAAAATAATTTATCGGTTTATTTCTTAAATAATATTTTTAAACAAAAATAATACATTTTTCACCCGATAAGCAGTAACGAAAAAATAAAAAAAATAAATCACTTGAGCCCGATTTTTAATTTTACTTACATGAGAACATTTTGTCAGCAGCTCCTGAAAAAGAAATACAGGGTATTTGAAATGTGACATACCTAACGTGACCCAGATAGCACTGGATTGTTTTTCATATTTTCCAAATTTCAGAAAATTTTAATAATAATGCGCATCCATTGATTTTTATTAGTGCCTTTATGGCTTTAAATTGGCAAATTACAACATGAGGTATCTACAATTTTTATTAATCAATTAATGTTTTTTTGAAATATTTGAAAAATCAATTAGTGAAATTTACAAGCGCCTCAAACAGCATGCTTTCAATGTTATTCTATATCCAACAAACAGATCTACATAATAAGTTGGTAACACGTTAAGCGCCATAACAGTACGTGCGTCAGACGCTGTTATATGTTGTCACAAAATCTAAATTTGTCAGGAGAGCCATTTTAAAGTTCACTTGTTTTAACAAATGTAAAGAAACCGTCTTTGCAAAAGTCAATTTATTTAGATTTTTTTACTTTGTATTAAAATTTTTGACTTTAATAGGCGAGTTCGGTCAGTCAGGGGCTGGAGCGGAACAAATGTTAGGGTGCTTTTAAATGACATTTAAGCGTGTTAAACTGTCACTAATCGGACTAAACCTAACGGTAAAAGGGTCGTTTGGAGTTAAAAGTGTTAAAGGAGTTAAAGGAACTTGGCAGACCGAACGCAATGAATGTGACTTAACATTATTAACCTCAAATTTGCAATACTTTGTGACTTACCGAGTGTTCAGTCATATTTTCGCGAAATGATGCAACTAGAGAGTTAAATCTGTTTTTCACTAGATAGAATTTAATACGGTAAATCCACAAGTGGAGAAAACTTTTCTCTGAAAAATAAGGTGCTGATATTGTCAGCCATACCCTACTATATTTTTTAATCAATTTTGAAGTTACTTTACTAAAGTTCTTCCAGTAGTCTTTTATGCGTGCGTCTTTTTGTACTAGGCGTGGAAAGCCGAACAAAATTAGTAACTATTTCTCTTTCAAACAAACGAGTACTTTGTTGTCATTGTACTAGGGTTGCCAAGTGATGTGAGGCGAGAATATTATCAACGGTAATTTTCTCATAATGCTTTAAGGGACACGACCAAACAAAACGGACCACGGGGAATCCCAGACATGTATTTGTAATTCTTCGTGTCATAATGTGCAAACAAAAGACAGTATAAGAATTATTTTCTTTTATTGAACACATAAATCGGCAAAATGAATAGGATAAGGGGTAATAAAATAACTAAACCAAAAAGTAATGTGTAGAATTACTATAATATATAATATAAAATCAAATGCTGGTGGTAATGACAATATAAACATGTCAATGTTAAAATTGTGTCTAAATATTATTGATGTTTATCTGCTACATATTATAAACTTATGTTTAGAACAAGGATATTTCCCAGAATGTTGGTGACAAGCTTTGATAATACCCTTACCTAAAAAGCACAATCCTAGTTCATACAATGAACTGCGTCCAATAAGTCTACTGCCTCTAATTTCAAAAATTCTTGAACGTGCAGCCTATTTCCAAATATATGAATATCTTTGTGAAAATAATATAATCCATTTGCATCAGTCGGGTTTTCAAAAGGGTTTCAGTACTTCAACAGCTTTGGCACATTTAAGTGACAATATTTTCAATAGTATTGATAAGAAAAAAGCAGGTGTCCTAGTTCTACTAGATTCTAGCAAAGCGTTTGACACCATTAATCATAGTCTTCTTATATCCAAGTGTCAATATTATGGATTTGATAGAATTTCATTAGGTTTCATAAAAACATACTTAAGTAAACGATCACAGTTAGTTACAGTAAACGGTCAGAAATCAACATCCATTCAAATCAAATCTGGTGTACCACAAGGTTCAGTCCTAGGGCCCCTGCTTTTCTTACTCTATACTTCGGATTTCTACAAACACGTAAATAATTGTGCAGTCCAATTTTTTGCTGATGACACTCAGCTGTTCCTCGATTTTTCGTCGAATGAAGTCATTACTGCAGTTGATAAGATTAATCAAGATCTTAAAAAAATTGATAACTATTCGTCTGATCATAACCTTCACATTAATGCTTCGAAATCCAAACTATTATTATTCTGTAGTAAAAATGTTAGACAATATATAAAGAACAATACAACTCTGATGATATCTGGTGAATCTATTCCACATGAAACTGAGTCTATAAATTTAGGGTTATACTTTGACGATCAAATGAGGTTCAGTCAACATGTCAACTATGTGTTACAAAAGTGTTATAGTGGTCTTCGCTTGCTTTATTCTAATAAGCACATCCTACAGAACCAATCTATAAAACTAAAACTTTGCCAAAGCCTTGTAATTTCAAAAATATTATATGGAATTGTTGTGTATTATCCTTGTTTAACAGCTGCTGATCGTAACCGTTTGCAAATTATGCAGAATACATGCTGCAGATTCGCAAAAGGACTTAGAAAATTCGATCATATTTCCCAAGCCTTCTCCCAAACTGGCTGGCTAACTGTTAATAATTTATATATATTTATGTTCCTTTCTTTTCTTTTTAAAATACTTTCTACTGCGTCACCATTATATCTTATGAACAAATTAACTTTTAGATCGTCTACGCACAATGTAAACATAAGAAACAATTTTAATTTATCAATGCCTCGTCACTCTAGTGCTATTTATAATCGTAGTTTTTCGTATAACGCGGTTGTTCTGTACAACACTTTACATACCGATATTAAAAAATCACGATCTCTACCTGTTTTTAAAAATGCTTTAAAAAGGCAACTCTTTATTAGTCAAATGTAAACTGGTAGATATAATGAGCTACTAATGTAAAATTGTATTGATAAACTTTTAATATTATAGTTATTTAAATGTATATGTTTTGTTAGGGTTAGGTGTAAGAATAGCCACAGGCTAAACCTCGCCCATGCTAACTGTACAAAAATGTAATTATTTTGTGCAAATAAAGACCCGTTATTATTATTATTAATATAAAAAAAAACTTGAGGGGAAAACGGTTTATGTTTGCAAAATTTTGTGCAAGGGAATATGTTAAAAATGTAACAAGAATGACAAAACACTTGTTGAAGTGTCTGAAATGTCTCAATGATATCAAAAAACGCTTTAAAAGAGGGGAAAGTCGAAATGTATCCATTGCCTCTCCGATGAGCATTGCAGATTCATCCTTGAAAGGTATGTTCAATATTTAGTAGAGAGTATAATGTATGGTAAACTATATATTTGTATCAAAAAGGATTTAAAAAAAGTAGCTGAAGAGATATAATAAGTTTGTTGTATTTTATTGCCTAAATAAATATTTTATTTAAATATAAATAGTGATGGGTTTACTTTAAAGGATGCCCTATTACACGGAGGGTGAAAGGAGCTTTTTTGCTGAAGTTGAATTCAAGTCATAACAAAACATTTATTTTCAGATCAGGGTGAAGTGGACAAGGCTTCAACTTCGACAACTGTCAGCATACCAGGTAGCGCATCAACTTCTAGTTTACGTAGGTTTATGGATGTCTCAAATAGAGAAGAGCAAGCACAGTTGGAACAACTTTTACTGTTTGCAAGGGCAATTTATGCTTCTGGAACACCATTTGCAATCTCGGAAAATAAACATTGGCAGTTATTCTTTCAAAAAGCCTTCACGACATTCTTTGTCTAATAAACTTCTAGAATCAGAATACGAAACAATGCAACATAAACGTTAAAATATGTGAAGCCAATGCTCTGGGTCTGCAGTGTGATGGTTGGAGCAACAGAAGAAACGAGGCCATTATTAATTTTATTATCACCACTCCTACAACTGATACAAATCGACATACTGCAGAGTACATGACAGAAAAAATAGAAGTACTAATAGAAATAGGACCAGAAAATTTCATTGCTTTAGTGACAGACAAAGCCAGAAATATCATTCATGAAAAGTATAAACATACGAGGGCTGTCTAAAAAGTATCCGACCTTAATTTTTCCCGCGCAAAGTAGTGACTCTAAAGTGGCGCCACTGTGCACGGTGGAAGGAGGAACCGTAATGCGCATGCTTGAATTTTTTCACCGCGTTCGCTTGTGCAAGTCGCTGGCTGGTGGTCGCCAAGCAAGGTGTTGTTCTTAGTGTTCGTCGAATTTAGTTTTCTCGCAAGATGACTGAACGAATTGAGCAAAGATACTGCATCAAATTCTGTTAAAAGCTTGGTGATTCTCAAAGCCAAACAATTCGTAAGATTCAGCAGGTGTTTGGAGAAGATTCGATGGGTATAACACAAATTGAGGAGTGATTTAATCGATTCAAAGATGGTCGCACATCAGCGGAGAGTGAGCCGCGTTGTGGCAGGCCCCAAACTGCTTGGAGTGCAGCTAATGTTGAAAGGGTGCGAGATTTGATTTGACAGTGCGGGAGATTGCAGAAGAGGTTGTAGTGAGTAAAGATTCTGCACATGCAATTTTGTGTGAAGATTTGAACATGTACCGGGTGGCTGCGAAATTCGTACCCAAGTTGTTATCGCCGGAACAAAAAGATCTTCGTTTTAACATTGCACAAGACCTTCTGGACACCACCAACACTGATCCTGGGTTTCTGAACACCGCGATAACTGGGGACGAGTCATGGGTGTACTTGTACGATCCAGAAACAAAAAGACAGTCGTTGCAATGGAAGCATCCCGATTCTCCAAGGCCGAAGAAAGCGCGTCAGGTGCGAAGCAAAATCAAAGTGATACTGACTGTTTTATTTGATGTCCGTGGAATTGTGCATCACGAATACGCACCGGAAGGACAAACAGTGACAAAGGCGTACTATCAAGATGTTCTCCGACGACTCCGTGACGAAGTTCGGCGCAAAAGACCAGACGTGGACGGCGAACAACTGGCACTTACATCATGACAACGCCCCTGCACATGTTATGTTGATAATGGGGTGTTAATACACTGCGACCTAAAAGATCTATTGTGCCCCCTTCTGTCGCCACTGCACTAAGGAAATGTCTCAATGCCTATAGCGACCCTTCCAATCCTATTTTCTCAAGGAAGTGTAGGATTTGAAGTGGCTTCAAGTTAGGTAAGTCTCCCTCTTCTATTTGATATCCTCCTAGAGTTAGGAGCCCCTGCACATTCATCCCAATTGATCAACAATTTCTTAGCCAAACATGAATTACAACCGTTCGCCAACCTCCCTACTCTCCAGATCTGGCTCCTTGCGACTTCTGGTTGTTTCCAAAATTGAAGACGCCACTGAAAGGATCCCGTTTTGAGAGTAGAGAAGAGATAATACGGAACGCGACGACGGGCTGATCACCATTCCAAAAGAAGAATTCCAGAGTCCAGCAGTGGAAGGATTGGTGGGCTAAGTGCGTGCAAGCGCAAGAGGCCTAGTTTGAAAGGGATTAGGATCCTAACTCCTGTCAGGTATTCGAAATATTTTTTCTGGCCAAAGGTCGGATACTTTTTAAGACAGGCCTCGTATATCTGTTTACGGTTGCGTCGTCAATAAACTTAACTTATTGATAAGAGACATCACAAAATTGTGAACGATGGCTTCGATAGAGGACGATGTTAAAGCTATCGTTAAAGAAATTAATCATTCTCATCTTTTACTGGCCACTTAATCCAGACTAAAAAAAAGAAGACAACTGTGCCAATATCTTTGAAGTTACCCGTCAAAGTAGGAAGCGAGTAGGAAAATTAATTTTAGATGAAGATATATTCTGGGTACGAGTGTTGAAGTTGTTCAATTTGATCAACCCTATTGTTGAATATAAAACCAAACTAAAGTCAGATAAGCCTAAGCTAAGTGAAACATTTTGAAACGGCGTTACGGCGTTTACGAAGCAGGAAGAGCAAAATGTCCAGTAATTTTTAGCAAAAAGAAAGTATACTGCTATACACCCTATACATTTGGCAGCTAATATCTTAGACCCGCATTTAAATGGTGTTCATTTGAGCAACGAGGAGCAAATTCAGGGTACAAAGTTTATTATTTAGCTACCTCAAAATACCCAGATGACGCCAAATTTAATGGCGGAATTGGCGTAGTATAGATGTAAAGGATTTTTTGCAAAACCATACGTTTTAAGGTCTGTCAATACACTAGAACCTGAGATTTGGTGGAAAGGAACCTGTTTTGGGACAAAACTAAGTAAATTAGCGGTTAAAATTTTGGGAATGTCTGTAACTAGCGCTGCTACAGAAAGGAGCTTTAACACATATGGTTTCATTCACTCCTCAAAAAGAAACCGACTGACTGCTGAGCGTGCCATTAAAGTTACTTTTATAGCTCATAATTTGAAACAATTGGACCAGCAGGGTTATTCTACTAAATTTATAGCCCGGCTACAAGTTGGATTTTGGCTTAAACTTTATATGTTCCTAACTTCAAAATCCAACTTGTAGCCGGGCTATAAACTTTTAGCCGGGCTATAAATTTAGTAGAATAACCCTGCAGGACCAGGTATCACCGATGTCCAAGCCCTCCAAGTATAAAGAACATGAAAAGAACCCGTCTACTTAGGACTACCAGTCACAGGGTGGTCTTGTAGAAACCGAGGCAATGGAAATGATATTGGAGTCTGACGGGACAGTACACCTAGGACTGTGCTAGGTATCGTTTGCTATCAAAGTCTACGTCAGTTTACTTTAGTACTTTGTGACAGCTGTCAATTACAATTTTCTCTTTCATAGTATATTCTCGCGCCAGGTTAAGTATAGTACAAGTATCGGTACACCGAATTGAATGTCGGAGCCCTTGGGGCCTCCTACTACGCCAAAGGGCTTTGAAACTTCCTACACAAAAAAGCTTAAAAGGAAATGCTGGTATAATAAGGAAGAGATTGATAGGCTTGAGAAAATATCAAACGTACACTTTGGAAATCCATTTAAAACAATAAAACCAAAGATAAGAAGTAAAACTGTAAGTAAACAAGCCCAAAATATACTAACAGATAACACTGGGGTCAGCTGCCCGATACACGGGGCCCTCCAGGCAAAAATTTCTGCGGTTTCACGACTAGAAAACAACTTCAGTCGGACGGAAGACTGCTTGGTAACGTCATCGCCTGGTACCGAAATCGAGGCCTGCCACGATTTTTGTGTTGGGCCGTTGGAGTTATCGTGTAGTCCATTGTTTTGGCTATCTCATGCACGTAAACTACTACAGAACGCACATACACTCAAGGACAACACTGTTTTTTCAATCAGTTTTTCAGGGAAGACAGACAAAAGTAAAATCTGACAAAAACTTACCACTTTACAACTACCGATCTAGTTAACAGCCATAACTGACTTATAATGCTTTTGATAAGTAAGAAGAGGTCACGGAAATCATTAATATTAAATAATAACTTTTAATTACACGGCCGTGACATCGGTCATGGCCTCGCCTGAGGTCTTCGCAGTTAGGAATACTTCTTAGACGTAGTTAAGAAGATATCCGCTGCACATATGTTGCTAATTGTTATTATACCATTTAAATGTACATATTGTAAATAAAGGAATTTTGTAAGTAAATAAGTAAGTAGGAGTCTGACGGAAGTGATGGGTCGGAGTCGCACTCGTCAGAAAATAAAAATAGTGATGGTGATGTGGACAATTTTTCTGACTCAAATTGATTTATTTTTTTAAACTTAATTTTGTTTTGTTAATCTGTTTAAGATTTTATTTTACATTTTTTATGCTTTTGAGAGTTATATTTTTTTTGTTATTGTTTATGCTTCATCATAAATAAATCTTTTAAAGTTTATTTAAACCCATGAGTTTCAAAACTGATTTTCGTCAGGAATCGTTTACAACTAAGAGCGCTCACTGGTGAACAGTCGTTTTTGACTTAAATCGTTACACGGTGCTGGTGAGAGTTGTTAAAAGATGTATTCAATATGCCGCTCGAGTTTAGATGTCACTGTCATTAAATTTGAGTTAGTTTTGGTAGATCGTTCTCAGAAAATTCTCATAATCGAGAATATTCTTGGTAATAATCCATTTTTTATTCTCGAGAATTTTTCATCACTACTTGTAACTGACTGCAACCGGAATATTTACCCTTCACGATTTATTATTATTTTTCACGAATAATATTAAAAACTAGCATTTAATGACTCAATTCATATGCATATTAAATATGGCGCGCACGTAAAAAACTTCTGGATCAACTGTAGATACTTTCAAGAGTTATTTTTTGGACCAACTATAGGTACTTTTAAATTATTCTAAATTGAATAATATATTTCAGAAACGCTGAACAGAACATTAACTCAATTTTGAAACAAGGCCATTTACAGTCAATCAATGATCGACATGCCTTGAATTTATAATAAATACAATGGTAAGCAACAATATTATACTATTTAGAAGTTGGTTGGAGCAGTAGCCATATCGTTTTTTATTTGCAAGATATACGTTGTTTCGGTTACTAATTTGATTGCCACCATGTCTTCCAATTCGCTTTATTTTTTTGTTTAATTTTCGCAATGAATTTGCGCTTAACGTGTTATAAGTCAACAGACTGGTATTGTTTTGGTGGACCGAATAATTTCTGTTGTATTAAACAAGGCATGGTCTAAAATAAATCAAAATAGACAATAAAATCAATCAAAACAACACCAGATTATTATAAAAACGCATCACTAAATTAGAGTAAGTGGATTATATCATGAATGATGCAACACTTAACGAATGTACAGTTTGTATGTAAATCCATGCAGTGCTGCGTCGTTCATGATATAATCTATTTCCTCTACTTCATATTGTTAGTACTAGTAGCAGTGTTTAACACTATACTGTCTTTTATTAAAAAAAAAATAGCAAACTGTTAAAAAAACCACACTAAACGTATGAGATCAGTCACATGATGTTTTTCATACAGTAATCTTCTTAGTTATTTAGAAAAAACGTTTTTAGTTGAATTAACGTGTTTCTTTTTCATTTTTGTTTGTTTGATTAGTTTAGTTTTAACATTTTTATATTAAAATCTATTTATAAACACTGTGTAAATGCGTCCACACAATAGGCTTATTTTGTTGTTAAAAATTATTTTTATATATTTTATATACACGCAAAATATAAGAATCCATCACTTCAAACAACGGTCAAAATAGACGCCGCCGACATACCCTCCCCTGATGGCTTTTTGGACGTTCTGTTCAAACAGTCTACGGTTGTTGGTCAACACCTCGGCCGCCTCTTTGTTCAACGGGTCTTCCGGATTGGGCTCCAGGAACAGATACTGCAAGCCGTACACGATGCTGTTGATGGTGAGAACCGGCTTCCAGTCTTCGCGCAAAATGTTAAGACATACGTTGCCCTGTTGATCGATGTTGGGATGGTACACTTGCGTTTCGCATTTCACTTTGGGGGGCTCGTGCGGGTAATTGGGACCTACCTTGAAGCTGAATATGAAACGACCGGTCCTGTAGAAGCCCTGCAAATATAAAAAAATGCTGCAATGTCGACATATAACTAGCCATTTACTAATTAAGGTAGAAGTTTAAAACGACCTCCTCAGCGATCAGGAGCCGTTACATACTTATATTCGAACCAATAATAACGGCGTTAAACAAAAAACGTTCTCAAAACTATTTTCCCTAATTTGGACCGAAGCTTCTGCTACTCACTCTCAAGCCTTGGTTTCTTTGAACACTTCGTCGCGGTGAGCGGACAGTCCGTCAACCGTCGCGTTTTGACGATTTTATCCAAGCAGAGTATTTAAATGGGAATGGTTTTCTTGAATCCGCTTAGTTGAACAGGACGGCGTCATGTCGCTGATTTGTCGCGAAGAGTCGGTTGATATCTGTTGAGTTTGATATCCGCGGAATCGTCGGCGTGTGCGGAGAATATATTTTATTAATTTTAAAACAATGAGTGACAAATTCACATACATATGACATCATGACTTTATTTTTAGAAAGTCTTAAATACTCGCTAAATTTGATTTCATTTCCAAACAGCCTCCACTGCACAGTGATATTAAAGGCATCTTCTGTATCGCGACAAAAAAACAACTCATTCACTGGCTTATTGGAAACTTTGACGGTTGCAATTGCCAGTTCCTCTTGTTCTTTCTCTTCCAACAATAATAACAACGCAAACAATTTATTTGCATCCATTTTAGTACCTTTCGTTTACATTCATAATACATAGACGGCACGTACAGACATAGAGAAAGTCTCATTTTCTATATTTTTTAACAAACCACCTCGGGCGAAAATCGCAGTCCTCAGCGGTCGACGGACTGTCCGCTCTCCGCGACGGAGTGTTCAAAGAAACCAAGGCTTCAGGGGACCGCATTTTGTGCACTCGGCGGATATATTGCAGTGTTGGCACAAAAATATTTTATTAAAATGCATCTTTATTTTAAAAATAACGGAATTTAGAAAGGGAAGGGGACCGAGGCTTAACATTAGCACTATATATCAGGCCAATGTAAAGGACTGGTGTATTTTTTAATTACGACAAGCATTAGGTTTTACATAATAATATTAATAGAATATTTTGCAGATGCTCCAAAAAAATTACATATTATACATTAAAATAAATAAATAAAATAATGCTACAAAAAAGAGACAGCAGAGTTGATACAAAAGGCGAGTTCGGGCTGCGCACTCCAGAGTGGAGTGGAGTAAGTAGGCGTAAACCTAATGCGCATATGGTTTTACTCCTTTTACTCTCAGAGTTCAATGTCCGTTGTCAATGTGACATACTAATACTTAAAACCTAATCGTACTTATCAGTAACAACCATATAAGTTTCTTCCATATTAATGGTATGCACGGGAATCAAATAAAAAGCATTTTTACTTAAGAATTAGTCACAATTATCTTATTATCGATTTAAATCACCTCATGCGCATGCCCGATCCACACTCCACTCCACGATCTCCGAACGGTCAAAGAGGAACTTTTATTTTAACTCCTTCCGTACCCGAACGCCTTAGGTACTTTAGGAGTGAATATAGTGAGAAGAGTGCGTAGACCAAACTCATCTAAAGAGACGACACTAAAAACCTTGAAAGAGCTCGCTTTGCGCAATTATTCAGTAAATAGCCGTAGCGCGGGAGGAACGAAATTGAATTTGACTAGAGGGAAAAAGAAAAAAATCAATAACTAACCCTAGAATGCTGTTGTTTACCACTTTACCAGACCTTTGTCTTTGATCGCTGTGAAAGCGGGTTATTTTTAAAGTTCCGTTTTTGACGATTTTTGATTTATTTAGCGAAAAATATTAAGTATGGAAACTCAAGTTTTTGATAACAAAATGTGTCCTTTCTGCAATTTGGAGTTTTTCTGTTTCTTCAAAAAGTATACATATAAAAAATATTCACAACCAGCAAGAGGTTTCCCATGCTAAGAAGTCAGGAAATCACATATTATTTCCCCATTGTATTTTGAAAATGAGTTAGTTTATGCAACTTTTAATAAACTATAATGTGGGTACATTGTTATAGATTAAATGCAGATATAAATACAAATATGGAACTGGAAAGTTTAAACAAAATTTACTCAACACTAATCAGCTGAAGCGAAAAACAAATGTAAGCAATTGAAAATTTGGTTGATGGAAAAATGTGGCAAAGGATTCTGAAGGTTTGCTAATTTTAAGTAACATATCCACTTCATTTTAATAACTAATATTTCATTATATAATTATTTGTTTTTTATAGATGGAAATACCACATGTATTTACCAGAAAAGAGAACGTGATTAAAGCACATCTCGCAGAAACAATAAAAACAATGTTTGGCGAATTTCAGGTAAAGCCTTCTACAGGTGACAATTTTTACAAAATATTTTATAATGAATTATGTCAGACAGAATGCAGAACTTCATATTGTAGAATATGTAAGGTATGTGTTCATCCCTACAAAAGTGACTGAATAGAGTATGCTATAAAAACTACCGTGTGTAAACACGTACATTTCGTATATTCTTATGTTCTAGGTGACGCTGCCAACCTACTTTCTGAGGAAAAGCTACCAGATATTTAAAGGGGGACATAATGAAGAAATTAAAAACTTTATTAGAGAGAAGAAATCTAAAAATCAATGTTCAACTACAATAGCCACAGAAGCAAAGTGAGAGGTAAAAATTGAAACTCAATTTTTTAAGATCCCTGAATGATGAGGCGTATAATAAGTAATGGAACCATTTTTCCATGTATGTAGGTAAAAATTATATGTTGGTACTTTTATATAAGGTGTACAGGCAAATATAATTTAATAATGGAACAAGTAATAGATCAGCGATACAGAAAAAGAAAGCAAAAAAGCACAAAAATTTTTTCTTAAAAAAAAGTAATTATATTGGTGAAGGCTTTTGATGTCTTTTTTTCTATCGTGTGACAGGGCTTGCTTTTGACCTAAATAGAAAACTTATTGTAAATATGTATTTATAGTATAGTTTAGGTTTTAATTAGATGTAAGTATTTATATTTATTTATTCTAGAAGTTTATCTAAATGAAACATATATGCCTATGTATGTATAGTGTGTCTATAATTTTGATAAACCTCCTAAAAAATCCATCAATTACATCGAAAATGGAACTGGCTAATAATTATTGTATTGTTTTTTTTTGTTGTTGAAAAAAGTAGCTTTTACCCATAAGTTTCTTCTTATGGGTTGTAATCGAAATTGCGGATTTAATGAAAAGTGTAAATAAAGGATTTTAAATATAAATATAATTTGATAACTGATTCAAAGTATAGATTTTCTAACCGAACTGTACCATCAATTACAATTATTTTAACCAACATTTTGAACCCGTTTATCAACAAATTGTATGGTTCTCTTAGTACACATAGTACACAGTTAATATAACATTTTTTCCTTATGAAAAGTATCGAAATTACATTACATTAAATTACATTACATCAAGAAATTGTTTCCACGTAAATAAGTGCAAATAAACTGAAATACATGCTGTGTATGCAGATTTTAAAAAAGCCTTTGATTGGGTTAACCATAAAGTTTTAATTAATAAGATGCAGAGTTTGGGAATTCAGGGGAACTGCTTGAATGGCTATCTTCTTACCTTACTGAAAGAATACAGATAATACGTATCCAGGGCTTCCAATCAATAGGAATTAAAGTATCATCAGATGTACCTCAAGGTTCACACTTGAGCCCTCTTCTATTTAATTTATATGTGAATGATATTGCATCCTGTTTTGTCTTTGCCCTATTCCTAAGGTTTGCAGATGATTTAAAATTATATATGAGAATAAAGAACGAATTTGATTACATAAAACTGCAAGCTGATTAAAATTGCCTCAGCAACTGGAGTGAAATCAATGAAATGGAACTTAATGTTAAAAAGTGCCATCAAATGGTCTTCAGTCATAACAGAAGTCCCACAGAACAAATAATCTACAATATTAATGGTTGCCCTTTGGGTGTAGTCTTCGCTTTTCAACTTATCTTACGTACCCCATATATCAATGGCAGTCTTCAAATCACTTCAAATGTTAGGCTTTATTAAGCGTAAGGATTTTTTAGAGGTGTTATCTATTAAAATATTGTTTTGTTCACATGTGAGGCCCCATTTAGATTACTATTCATGTGTCTGATCCCATCAGTACAATGTTCATATTCAAGCCATTGAAAGAGTTCAGCATACATTTTTAGGATTTATTTCATTTAAGGACCACCGTGGAGTCGAGGATATTAATTACCACTCTTCAGATCAGACGCATGCACAAGGATCTTACCACATTTTACAATATACTGCACTCATATAGCTTTAGTCCAGAGCTATTGGGAAAAATCAATATTCATGTTCCTTCTAGACAAACAAAGCTCATTCAGCCCTTTAATATTAGACAACATCAGACTAACTACGACATAATTCTTTTCTATCAAGATCGGGTAGATTTGCTAATCAGTATTCTGATAGATTGAACTGCTTTGACAATAAAAAAGTCTTTAAATCCCTGCTTAAATAATGTATGTGATATTTTGATGTCTAGATAATTTAATTTAACTTATTTACAATTATAGTTTTTTTTTCTTGTTTATGTTAATTTTATGGTAATTTGTGTTTCTTTGTTTCAACATTCTCTAAGTGTAGGTTAGGTTTTAAATTTTCCCTTTTATTAAACTTGTATTTTAATTGGGCAATTGCTCGTTGATAAATAAATAAAATGGTCATAAACATGGAGAAAAATGTAAAAAATAAGGGTTAACAAATATTAATTGTTAGAACAAATGCAATACTGAGGCCCCGTGGAGGCAGTAAACCTCTTTAAATAATAAAAGTAAGTTAGGTTGAAGCATAACATCAACCTTAGTTTATCAATTCAAATCAATAATAATAAAAAGGTATTTACTGACCTTTACTAACATAAACAATATAATTAAGAGGTCAATGATCAATGTCCTTGATCTTTAATTTATACCTACTTTTTATTCAAATAATATAAATTACCATAAAGAATTAATTAATCACATACTTTCATATTTTATTTCTATTATAGTACTAGTATCAAAAAGAAATTTATAAGTGCTGTAAATACACTTAATTATTTTACAATAAATAGTACAATTTTATTCATTTAAACTGATTGCAACTATTGGAATTTGATCTTGAAATGATAAGTGATTCTGGACATATAGTGAACAAAATTTTTAATAAATATATTAACAAAAATTACAATCAATTAAAAACTATGGTACATTATCTGAACATAATCATTTTTATTATTTAAGCTATTTTCAGCTTTAATGCTTTATTATTCATTGGATTAATACAAAACCAGAACTGATATAACTTAATATATCATGTTTTACTTGTGATCTAAATTAAGACCAGACACTAAGCTAATATTTTAACCATTTATACTATGCCTGAAGAAAATTGTATTCAGATTAAATTAAGAAACTAATGTATAGCTTTAAATATATAAGTAAAGACTTTACTTACCTCATCAGGACAAATAACCAATTTAAAAGTTAGTAGGTCATCAGGATCTGGAAATTCCGTTGTGCATGTTTTAGGTAGATTTAATTCATTGATATCTGCAAGATGGTAAAAATGAAAATCAGTACAACGACCTGTTAACGTATTCTACAACTAGATTAAATGTACATACCCTTTGTAATTCGTAGTTGTGCTGCCGATGCTTTCTTTTGATTCCCTGGCCTTGGTGATGATTCTCCATCCTTTTTTTGTTGTTTCAGTGAAAATAATTTTATCATATTTATATTAAAATATTTCGTTCACCCTACTTTTCAAATTAACATGAGAAACGTATGAATTTTTTAACGTGTTTATTATGCAAAATATTATTTTTTTACCCTGCTGACGGACCTGTCACACCATCTCTGCCTTGTCTTTTGTCATTTCTCAAGTTGGTAGTTGGCACGAAAATGTGGCGTTAATCGTTAGCCATTTTTTCGCGAGCGATTCAAAATTATTACGTTCCAAAAATCCTTCTACTACCAAAGGTTTTTTTTTGTAATTATAAATTGTTTTGAATTTGAGTAAATTCAGAATCGCATTAAAGTAAATTATTTTGATTTAATTTATGACTAACATAGATGACGAAGCAAAAGGGTAAAAAACCGCTTAGAAACGTCAACGGCGGCAAAGGAGGCCGTCAGCAGCTGTCATTTCTGTCATTTTTTGTCAAATCTCGAGTTCCGTCGTGCATCGTGCGCGAGGTACCGAGCATCTTGTTGAAAAGAGCGAATTTAATTTTGCTTCGGTAAAGTTAAAATTAAAGTAAATCCAACTAACAAGCTGCTAAACACTAACTATGGAGATCAGAAAATTAATAGATTTACTCCGGGCCACTATAGACCCAAATCAACGACAGCAAGCCGAAGTTCAATTAGACCAGGTAAGTTCTACATGTGTCCATGCGGTCGTTTTTCAAGTGAGATTTTTCTGCTATTAACATTAAATTATGGCGTTATTTGTGTATTTTTGATATTCTGCTGTGTCTAATTATTGGGTATACTATTAATACTGTAAAAATAGTATTACTTGTGCTTTTTTGGTATATGCTATATAAAGTGATGTCAAAGGAATATAAAAATCTGACAGTAATGTTATTAGCAATTACAATGATATATTAATAAACATCGTAAGATTTTTTTGTTAGATGTTGATTTATTTGATGATTTTGTATGTTTTTGTGTTTTATATAATAATTTTACAGTCTATCATTATAGAATTCTACGTTTTATTTTAATCCTGGATTTTTGCATTTTGTAAAACTGGTCTTATAAAAAGTGACTGTACTTTTTACTTGGCTACAATAATACAAAACTATTTTATTATGTAGGTAATTCTATTATAAAAAAAGATTTTCTTTTATAGTTTATATCTAAAAAAGTAAAATAATTGAATTTATAGAAATTTACCTAATAAAAGATACCTATATTTTGTTTTTCTTTAGTTATAATGGGTTGTAGTAAAACGTTTGAACTGACAGATGAACTAAATTATATTTTTATCCAAATTTGACCTTCTACTACAATAATTTGATAAGGCTCTGGAATGTGACAAATGAATATAAACATTGATGTAAATGTAACAACACCCAGATACATTGAATATTTAAACTAGAAAACTTTGCCTAGGAAAAAGTAGTGTTTAAATAGCTCTAATTATTTTATTGTACTTGCTAAGGTTCTTATATTTTTTCTGAATTTTAAGAATTTTGTGCATGACAGATTTATTTTTTTGAGTAACCACTATAAAGGAATAATGTAACAACCAGGAAGTCTAAAGACCATTTGTAACTACTGATAGGTTTTTAGCTACTGTTTTTAATATAATATTAAGGGATTAAGGCAGCACTGTCACGATCCAAAGGGTCCTGGAGTCCAGAAGGAATATCCATTCACCAGTGGCAAAATAAAAATTAAATTAAAAGAACAAAAATTATCCCTTAATAGCATAATTGAGTGGCTTTGGCAACTAGTTTTAGACTCTTCTAGTCCTTTAAGGGTGGAAATGCTGAGGCTTCACAAATGCTTGGAATATTTCATAATTGGTTTTTTGAAAGGGGAGGAGAGATTAATAATAAATTATTAAAATAGTAAGAAATGTATATTTACAATAAGTATAAAATGCCTAATAGTGTCAAGAATAAATGAATCAAGTTATATTTAGGGAATAAAGCACTATTTGATAATACCTATATCCAAACTATTAATAAAGATTTATAACAACTAGATAAACTTATTTAAAATTAATTCTGATGCCTTGGTAGGATTCCCCACTCGACCATTCACTGTTGGGTTCTAATTAATAGTGCTGTTCCTAAAGTGGCGCTGGAAAACAGTGACAAAGCCTACATAGAACACGAGGCTAATGACCTTAGCAGTCAATGCCAAAGACACCAAATTAAAAAGAAGCTAGATAAACATTTTTTGAATTATATAGTTTGGACTTACTAACAACTATAAATAGTTCACAAATCTTTACTTTGCACATTACAATGTTTCGAGACTTAGGGTCCCAAAAACAAGAGTTTCACCTATTGGCAATTGTTTTGGACCTCAGTCCTCACTCGAGTCCTTTTTTATTTCTGTCTAGTCTCTCTATTTAAATCCAAAATTTACATGACAGTTGTACTTGTTAGAATGCCAATGTTATACGGGTCCTTTTCAATAACTTTTTAATTTGCATTATAAGTGATTTTGAAAATCTCACCTTAAGTTATCAGTTTAATATCATCCTTTTTATATTGTTACATGCTTGAAATACTTGGTTTGAGCCTTGGTTATTGAAAATATTCATATAAATTTTTTTTTCTGTAGAAATTTGTCCATATTGTATGTTTTATATTTTAAGATTTCCTTCACACATACAAGACTACAAAAAAAAATTAGATAACGTTTAAAATATTATAATTGTAATGTTTTTCTAAAGTAAGTACCATCATCTTTTAAAAATACGTCAACAAAATATGCTACTTCAATCTAAATAAATGTAGTGAGAAAAAATTTGCAAATTTATTAAAAAAAAAGATAAAAAAATTGAATTTTTCTTTATTTTAGTAAAAATATCTAAAGTAGCTTATAGAAATAGCATAAAACAAATAAATAACTCTAAAATAGTATGTTAAATTGAAACATTTTAACTCCCAAGTGCCTTAGTAGAATTACAATTTCACTAAAACATGACGTGACGGAAATATGAAAGAGTGACGGAGATATGATAATGGTTCGTAAATATGAAAAGTAAAGAAAAATACGCAAGAAAATACACAATTTTTTTTAAAAATTTTAACATTAGATTGTGAGGTTTTAGATGTCGATGGCAATATTTCTTCAAAATCTTTTAATTTGGCTTTCGCTAAGTTATCTGATTTTAACTTGGATATTGCTTTGTTAGTGATGTCACATCACATACCTAACTTAATTTTGAAGGTATTTTTGTTCAACCTTTTATCTTTTACTTGTTGTTCTAACGCACTCTCCTTCATGTCTTTTAACATTTTCTTTAATAAAGCTATTTTGTCGCTTTCATTATCATTCTTAGGGCTAATTGTTGCGTTACATCATCTGAACTAATTTTCAGGGAAACGCATACCGAAGAGTTTTCCTCCATATTAAATGAAAGAAAATCTCTTTTACTTTCGATCACTGTTTGGAATTCATTTTGAGCAGATAAACAATAAATATGACAATATCATTCTAATTTTTTGAAATGATACTTAATATAGATCTTCTGAATTCTTGCACTTGCTATATTAAACAATTAGGTTAGAAATGTAAACATTGGTCAGGGTATACTTTTTAAAGATATTTAAATAAAAACGCTATTTGCTGTTTTAAAATAAAATCATATGGGACGGAAATCCGAAGAGAAAAAAGACCTGCCAAAATTTTACCGGTTTTATTGAAGAATCGTACAATAAAATACTGCTGCCTTCACAATTACTGCTTGACATGAATGCACTGAGGCCCAGCAACAAAATCAGAATTATTTTATTCACAGATACCGCCACCTGATGGTCACTTTTCAACTTAAAGTTGGTGTGACGGAGATCGGGTACACGCAGCATGACAACCAATATTCAAGGTTTAGTAACATGTATAGTCGATTTTTTGTTGCATTTTATCATTATATTGACAGATAAAATATGGCAGATTATGAAAAATAGCGACAAACACTATATATTGCATGTATATTAAATGACAAAGGTACAAACATAGAAAATAGAAATCGTGACGCGTGACGGAGGTATGAAATTGCATGTTTAAAAAACAAAAAAATATATAAGACAAACTATTTGTGAATGTTTGTTTTTATCATAGTCGGCCAGGTACCAAACTATAAATATTCGCAAACATTTTGCTAAATATCTTGAGAGATGTAGGTATACTCGTTAAGATCACCCAAATTAAAAAGTTATTGAAGAGGACCCATACCTTGAACCATTGACTAGATTAATAACCTAATTGTTGATTTTATTGCAATACGTGTGTTTTCTTTTGAATATAAATTTAAAACATTAAAAAATACTTTTTTTTAGAACTATTGCTAAATTCTTTATATTTTAAATAATAATGCCAATTATTACAACATTGCAAATGGAAGAAAAAATTCAATTTCCATTTGAAGAAGCTTGAAAAAAATACTATATAATGTCTAAATACATTTATTCAAAAAAGGTCAGTACTGGGCATATGTCATGTTGCTTTTTAATAGTGTAACAGAAATATAGTATTAAAAATATGAGCTAACTCTGAATCTGAATATACAGTAGTCCAATTCATTATCTTTCTCTATTATCTTTCTCTAGGAGATAAATCGATAGACAAGCTGGACTAAATTGGTGGCTAGAAAGCAGTAGAAAGTAGGAAGAGCAAGGGTTGTCGTTATATTTTATTTTATATTTATTCACAGCGCCACTTTAGCAACAGCACTATTAATTTGAACCCAACAGTGAATGGCCGAGTAGGAAATCATGCCTATGCATTAGGATAAATTTTTAATTAGTTACATTTAATTAAAAACCTGTCACCAGCCGAATTTGAACCCAGGATCTTTGGATCTGAAAGTTCAGACTAAGCCACCCACCCCCTCATACATACTTATTGATTAATTTTTTTTTTTTTTCAAAAAATTCATTAAGTGCCATGTATTGAATGAAAGTGTTTCCATTATTTTGTTTAGAATGAATCGAGACATTTTAAAATAGCAAACAAACCAGAATTAATACTAATTGTAAGTTCACTTTTCCAACACAAATATGCAATGATTGAAGCTCTTTGATCTGCTATTGGTAAATGATAAAAAGCTAGTTGCCTCAATAAAATCAGAACCTCCAATAGGCTTAAGTTACCACGTATTCATATGCTGCTAATAGTTCTTACGAAACTTTAAAAAACACTGCACAAAGTAATAAAAACCAAATTGATAAAAATCATATTAACATTCACATTGATGGGAAGACGATTCAGTTGGTTGAAGATATTAAATACTTGGGTTTTGCAATTGATAATATATTAAACTATAAAAATCATTTTCAATACATTTATAACAAAATATCAAAAAATCAAAAAAATTGTTTTTCTTCAGCAGAGTTTGTGGTCATCTTACATTTAAGACTTCACATAATGTTTATAAAACAATCATTCAACCTCATTTTGATTACTGCTCGAGTTTATTAAGATTATTAGATTCTGTCAACAGGCACTCCAAAAATTGCAAAGTAGAGAGATGCGAATTATTTTGATATGTAATAGGTATACACCTATTATTACAATGCTTTCCGCATTAAATTGGTTGTCGGTGAAGGATAGACTATTTTTATGTTCTTTGTTATTTATATATAAAATTATATCAGGAAATGCCCCCAAATACTTTGATGAATTTATTATGTTTAATCACAAAGTTCATAATTATCCCAAAAGAAGAGTAACTGCCTTTTATGTAACTAAAACAAATTACAGTCACATAATGAACTCAATTTTTCATAATG